CCCCCCTGTCAAACACAGAGCCGCAGGGCAATCAGGGGATTGGGGAGCTCCCCCCTATCAGGCACAGAGGAGGGCTGATCAGGGGGTTGGGGTGCCTTCCCCTGTCACGAACAGAGTAGGGCGGATAGGGAGGTTGTGGCCCCGCCCCCTGTCACACACAGAGCCGCAGGGCAATCAGGGGATTGGGGAGCTCCCCCCTATCAGGCACAGAGGAGGGCTGATCAGGGGGTTGGGGTGCCTTCCCCTGTCACGAACAGAGTAGGGCGGATAGGGAGGTTGTGGCCCCGCCCCCTGTCACTCACAGAGCCACAGGGCGATCAGGGGGTTTGGGCGCTGCCCCCTGTCACACACAGAGCCGCAGGGCAATCAGGGGATTGGGGAGCTCCCCCCTATCAGGCACAGAGGAGGGCTGATCAGGGGGTTGGGGTGCCTTCCCCTGTCACGAACAGAGTAGGGCGGATAGGGAGGTTGTGGCCCCGCCCCCTGTCACTCACAGAGCCACAGGGCGATCATGGGGTTTGGGCGCAGCCCCCTGTATCACACAGAGCCGCAGGGCGATCAGGGGGTTTGGGCGCTGCCCCCTGTCACGCTGATCCCGGTGCCGGGAGCCTCGCTGCTCCGCTGATCCCGGTGCTGGGAGGCATATTACCCTTTTACTATATAGGATAGAGGCCTGGTGCATGGGTAGGGGCTGGCTGGTTTGCCCTGAAGGGTGTCCTGGATCAGGGTGGGGGTCCCCACTGGGGTGCCTGGTCAGTCTGGGTGAGGGGCTGAGGGCTGTTTTCAGCTGGTCACACACTCTTCAGGGTGTGGGTCCCCACTGGGGTGCCTGGCCAGTCTGGGTGAGGGGCTGAGGGCTGTTTTCAGCTGGTCACACACTCTTCAGGGTGTGGGTCCCCACTGGGGTGCCTGGCCAGTCTGGGTGAGGGGCTGAGGGCTGTTTTCAGCTGGTCACACACTCTTCAGGGTGTGGGTCCCCACTGGGGTGCCTGGCCAGTCTGGGTGAGGGGCTGAGGGCTGTTTTCCGGCTGGCGAGTGACTGAAGCTTCCAACCGCTCCTTGTTTTCTTCTCTTTTTTTTTTTTTTTTTTTGGGCCAGCTTTAGCTCTGGGGCCTTGCTGCTGAAAACATAGATACAATGTTGCGGTCCGAGCCCGGCTGAATGGAAGCCCTTTTCTGGGGTTTTGTTTAGCTTCTTATTTGCAACATAGTATATAGTTGCTTAGAGTTGCAACTGAGAGGCTGGCAAGTTAGGCGGGGAACGTTGGAGTCTGCAGCAAGCAAGCCTCCCTGCTCGCTTCAGTGCCTGGCTGCCGGCCGCCATCTTGGCTGACAGTTAATTTGCATATACTCACTGATTAGCCAATGAAAAGGGTAGCGGTCGTACGCCAATTACCATGTTTCTCTTTTATTAGTGTAGATACTTAAGTGGATACCTTCTTGAGATGAAAAGAAAGGAAAATAAGTTCTAATAAACTTTCAGAACTATTCTATAGAATTATAGTCCACCAATTCACAAATTTACGCATTCCAAGTGCAAAACTTGAGTGTAGCTGATAAATCCATTATCATGACACACCATTTCATAACCTGCTATGAACCACCCTGTTTTTTAGTCTTTCTCAACTGTATACTAAACCACATTTAAGTGCAACAAAGTAGCACATCAACTTTGCAAGATAGAATATTTTTTTTAAAACTCCAACATTGCCAAGTGAAATGAGAATTCAGACTCCCGCTTAGTCCTTGAATGATGCTGTTGGTGAGTCACTGCTATTACCCTCCTGCTTCTCACTGCACTGACTCTAACAGTACCAGATGTTAAAATACCTAACTCAAACTCTTTAGTCCAAAGACGTCTAAAGCTGTGACTCTTATCAGGGATTACAGCCTCAGACCTGTATGTATTTTCTATTAAACAACTACAATGCACATGAGGCATATTTGATATTGAAAAAAGAGAAAGTTTTCTCATTTACAACTGCACATTTGCAAATATGACTGACCTGCTTGCTGTGGTCTAAATATAGAAAAACACTTTCCAAAAACTTTCAGCAAGAACAACAAAAACAGTTTAACATTCACTACACCCTTTAATTCAACAGCATCCAAGGAAGAGCCCCAACCTTACTGCACCTCCCAGCTCCTTCACAAATTGGCACACGCACCCTTTCTACCCGCCCGGACTCAATTTGGGAAAATCTCAAAGCTTGTTGTACTTACTCAAAATTCAGGAGTAGATACATTTACTCTCAAATTCATGTTCCCCAAAAGCCAAGTGCCCCACACTGAGATTAACAATTAAAGCCCAGCAATTTTCCACAGCCAGCCTCTGAAACAGACAAACTGACACTTATCTCTGTTTCCAGGCTCTGAGACTGAGGTGACTGCTCAGGTTTCTGTGGCCCAAACAGCATGCTGAGTCAGACTTTCTGGACTCTAATCTATTGAGTCATGCTGTCTTTACTAAAAAACAAGTATTTCCTGTCAACAATATGTGGCATCACACAAAAATCATAGAAATACAACTTATTAAAATATATGAAAACCACTACACCCCAAATACCTCTTGTAACTACATCAAATTGAATCACAAAACTAAGCAGCAATACTGAATGGTTTAGTCACCAGAAGGGAAAAAATACTCATAACTTCTTCCTGTCAAAAGAGCAATGAATGTTCGTTTCTTGAATGGATTCATTTTCATCCAAAGAAAACTATGTGCATGCTATCTCAGTGGTGAATACACAAGTTTAAGGTCATTCGTTACTCAGCTGCTTACAGGACAGATTGTGCCCATTGTCTCTACTCCTGAGCAGCAACAGAAGCTATTAAGTTAAAATAAGGCCTTCTAGACAAGTGCTTTTCAACTTTCTCATCTCATGACACATATAACCTAATTATTAATATTTTACAGCACATTATATTTTTTTGCCAATCTGACAAAAAATAGGTATAATTTTTACTCAGTCACAGTGGACAGCTATGGTTGTATGGCTGTTGTCATTGTTTTACTTGACAATCTAAGGGGAAAGAGGTCAGTGTCCCTGACTAAATAGTCAGCTACTGCATGTTTTAAGAATGATTACGCACCCCAGTTGGAAACTGGTGTTCTAGAGGAGTTTACAACCATTCTGGTTCATAACCAGGTATTGCCGGAACGTTAAACATCAGCCACACAGAGTTTACGAAAGTTTACAGGTCATTAAAAAGTTCACTAATCCTGCCCAGCCCGCATGACTTAGTGGTTGAGCATCGACCTCTGAACCAGGAGGTCACAATTCAATTCCCAGTCAGGGCACATGCCTGGGTTGCAGGCTCGATCCCCAGTGGGGGGCATGCAGGTGGCAGCAGATCAATGATTCTCTCTCATCACTGATGTTTCTCTCTCTCTCTCTCTCTCTCTCTCTCTCCCTCTCCCTTCCTTCTGAAAGCAATAAAAATATTTTTAAAAAGTCACTAGTCTTTTCCACATTTAGTGCTGCTATAGCATGGCCTATGGTAGCATTGCCTGGTGGTAACAGAAGTGCTGGTTGCCTGATATAATCATGACTGTCTCTACTATGTGTGACTGTGGGCAAGCTTCTTCAGTTCTCTTGGGTCTTCATTATTGCCTTATCCATAAAAGGGGGCACAGGGTGCTGAGATAGTGACAATATGGGTAAAAAGTGTTTACCACAGTGCCTGGCACATAGAAGGCACTTAATAAATACAAGCTTATTACTATTACTTCTACTGCTACTCCTACTACTCCTACCATCACCACTCAGGGAGCATGGTAGCAGTAATGTAGGGCTGGGGGACTAGCAATTTTTGTTAAATAGATTCAATCTAATTGTTTTTGGTCCCAGGTCTATGCTAATTAATGCCAATTAATGATTCAGACAGTAAAAATGCCTGACATTTATAATATCATTCCTTCCTAGCTGGAAGCTCTTCCCCTGTCCTCTCGACCTATCTAAATTTTATGGATCCTTCAGTGCCTAGCTCATTTTTCAGATACCTCCTGCCATAATCATCGGTTTCCCTTGAGCTGAGTCCATGGTATCTATTGCCTAAAATATTCAGTAAGCAACTAGCCAATCACATATTGGCATGGAATCTTTCCTTTGTGTCCCATATACTTCTACTTTGCACTATACCACTCGTGCGTAATGATGTGATTTTCACGTTTATGTTTGTGTCGTAGACTGAACAGTTCTTGAGGGTAAGGACCATAATGCTTCTCTGCATGATCGTGGACTGGAACTTTGCACTAAACTGGCACTCAGTAAATGTGCTAACCATTGAGTTTTCTAATCAATTCTGATTGTGCATATCAAGTAAATTTTATAAAATATTAAAGACAGGTTTATTAGTAAACTCTGAGATCAGAGTATTTATGAACAAAACTGTTTCATATCTACCAATAAGCATATACTTATGTCTACCACTCCATAAAGATTCCAAAAATAAAGATGACATGACTGAGCAATAAATCCATAACAGAGTCAGAAATACCTGCTATCAAGCTAAATTCTTTTGCAAAACCTACAGCCACAATTGTTTTAATACTGAATATTTGATTTTGGTATCCATATCATCCTCCTATATAATAAAAGCCTAATATGCAAATTATCCCCTCGACCGAGAGTTCAACCACTCGCTATGATGTTCACTGACCACCAGGGGGCTGCATGAAACATGGCAAGTGTCAGTGAGGCGGCGCTGGCAGCGGTGGAGGTGCTGCCAGCCCCAATGGGCCCCTACGAGAGCAGGACCGCAGCGGGATGATGGAACAGGTGAGCAGGCAGTGCCAGGCCAAGGTGGGTGCAAGTGGGGGCCCAATCACCCGGCAGACGGCGACCAGTGGTGGCAGCGCGAGGTGGGGCTGCCACTTGGCTCCCAGGTGCTGAGGAAGACAGGCAGGAGGCCCAGCTCCGACCAATCGCCCTGCAGACAGCGACCAGAGACCGGCAGGCCCTGATCGCCCGATCGAGACTGGGCCCCAGGCTGGGATGGGGAACTGGGGGTGGGTGGCAGTGACCCGCAGTGCCCGAGCGGGGGGCTGTAACCTCTCACCGGCTACCTGGGGTGTGGGTGACAGGGACAGAGGTGCAGTTAGAATGCGGGCTGTCCACCGAGCTTGCTCTCATTCCCCCTACCTACCCTCAGGATGCCAGGGCTCACACTCCGGGGAAGCCCCCATGCTCAGGTGCTGGGTGCCTGCAAGGAGCCCGCCCCGCACCTGCAAGGCCTCTTCCAGGTGAGCAGGGCTGCAGCCGCCAGGACCACAGGGGCTGGTCGGACTCCCCATGGGTTGCGCAGGAGCCGGTATATGATGCCGGCTGGGAGAGAGAGTGCTGCATGCCCGGCTTCCGTGAGACACCACTGGGCGGTCCAGAGGTCCATGCTGCACCCCGTGGTATCTGGCCGTGCTTACTGCATCTCCGCGTGGGGACTCGGGTGCCGTGACTCAGGTGGAGGGGGGCGCACGGGGGCCCAGGGGCCCAGGTGCTGCCCAGGGCCCAGAGGTCAGCTAGAACCTGCCCTTCCATGCCAGACACTCACAGTTTGATTGCCAGCCAGGCCTAGGGACTGCACCTGTGCACAAATTTCATGCACCAGGCCTCTAGTGTATTTCATATGCAAGAATTAGTAATTTATGTCATACTTCAAAACAATAGATACTTTAGTAACTACAGATTAATATATGTGCATTGCTGGTGAGAATATAAAATGGTGTAGCTGCTATGGAAAACAGAATGGCAGATCCTCAAAAAATTAAACATAGAATTACCATATGATCCAGCAATCCCACTTCTGGGTATATACCAAAAGAATTGAAAGCAGTGACTTGAGTAGATATTTGTACACCAGTGTTCGTAACAGCATTATTCACAACTAGAGGCCTGGTGCACAGATTTGTAAATGGGTGGGGTCCCTCAGCCTGGCCTGTGCCCTCTCACAATCTGGGACCCCCCGGGGGATGTTGGACTGCCAATTTTGGCCCAATCCCCAGCAGTCCGAAATCCCCCTGAGGGGTGTAGCAGTGCCAAAGAGGCAGGCAGCCGGGGAGGAGCCCCAGCCGGGGCCAAGCACAGCTCCACTGCCACTCTTCCCAGCCCCACTGCACCTGCCGCTGCCGCCACTTGGTAGCGCTGCCGCGGAGGTAGGAGAGGCTCCCACCGCCTCAGTTGTGCTCGCCAGCCGTGAGCCTGGTTTCTGGCTGAGCAGTGCTCCTGCTATAGGAGCGCAATGACCACCAGGGGGCAGTTCCTGCGTTGAGCATCTGCCCCCTAGTGGTCTATGCATCATAGCGACCAGTTGTTCCGGTCGTTCAGTCCTAATGGTTGCTTAGGCTTATATATATATACTAGAGGCCTGATGCACGAAATTCGTGTAAGAATAGGCCTTCCTTCCCCCAGCTGCTGGCACTGGCTTCCCTCTGACACCCAGGACCCGGCTTCCCTCGCAGCCCTGGCTTTGTCCGGAAGGTCGTCCAGTCTAATTAGCATATTACACTTTTATTATTATAGATATATAAAAGGCTGGTGCATGAAATTCATGCATGGGGGAGACCCTCAGCCCAGCCTGCACCCTCTCCAATCCAGGACAGCTGGCTCCTAATCGCTCACCTGCCTGCCTGCCTGATCACCCCTAACCACTCTGCCTGCCTGCCTGATCGCCCCTAACCACCTCTGCCTGCCAGCCTGATAGCCCCTAACTGCTCCCCTGCCAGCCTGAACGCCCCTAACTGCTCTCCCCTGCTGGCCTGATCGCCCCTAACAGCTTCTGCCTCACCCCCCGCCCCCGTGGCTTTGTCTGGAAGGACGTCTGGAAAATGTTCGTTCTAATTAGCATATTACCCTTTTATTAGTATAGATAGCCAAAAGATGGAAACAACTCAAATATCTATGGACATATGAATGAATAAACAAAATGTTCTATGTAAATATGATGGAATATTATTCAGCTTTGAAAAGGAAGGAAATTCTGATACATGCTAACACATGGATGAATCTTGAAGACACTTAAAAGAAATAAGCCAGACACAAAAGGACAATTACTGTATGATTAACTTATATGAGCTATATAGCTAATATAAGTTAATCATACAGTAATCAAATTCATAGAGACAGAAAGTAGAATTATGGGCCGGGAAGAGTGGGGAATAGGGAGTTATGGATTAATGGATACAGAGTTTCAGTCTGGGAATATGAAAAAATCCTAAAGAAGATAGATGGTGGTGATGATTGTACAACAATGTGAATGTACTTGATACCACTGAACACTACACTTAAACATGATAAAAATGAACTCTGGCCATTGTGGCTCAGTTGGCTGGGTGTCATCCCACACGCTGAAAGGTCGCCAGTTCCA